CGGCGGCGGCGGTGGGGCTGCTCAGGGCTCTCTGGGGTCCGCTCTCCGCTCCCGCTACCGATCGAACTAGCGAGAATGGCGGGACAGGCGGGATAAGCCCTATGATCGACCCGCCCTACCCACTGTTCACTGGTCAACAGTGCTGTCAATCTCACCACCTGACCTCAATCTCTGACTTCTACTGGCTAGTCCTTTTTCGCTCCTCCACTCTTATTGGCCCTTAGGCACCTAATGCTCGCGACCTACAACCGTTCCAGCCTCCGCCGCCATAGAGACCGGAACCAGAATTAGAGTAGTCACCACGAGAACCATAGAGTACCCGAGAGGCCGGACAGAGAGAACGTGACTTTCACGAGGCTACCTCCTGGGCGGGCGGGCCCAACGTTTAGGGTTCGGGCTCAGACTGAAGGCATTAGCAAACGCCTGGCTCCAGATTGCCTGGTGTAACCTGGGGTTTATGAAGAGTCCTGACACTCTGGGAGCATGGAGAGAAGTCTTCCCTTCCCCTCTCCTAGCTCCAGCTGTCTTTTAATGTCTTTTAATGGCCGAAGACTGAGCATTTCGGAATGGGTTTAAACATCCGCACTCAACTTTAGAGTTTGGGTGGTACGGTCGTTTAGAGAGACTACGCAGGCGCATAGGCCTCCCTTGCCTCGCATATTTAAGATGGGGGTGTACTCCGTGGGGTCCTGCCTTATGATTTATTTTACCAGGCATATAAGTAATGTGTCTCCTTAAGTATTCCCGTCTTTTTGTCTTGGCCACCAATCAGACTTCATTTCGACTCATTTATTGGGCAAGCTAGATTTTATTTGCATTTTTACCCCATCCACAATCTGAAGATCACCATCACTACAGTTCAAACCACAAAATTGTGTTGCCTATCTGATGTTGCTTAAGTACTTCACCACCTTCATTCATTCCTAGTTATTTTGTTTTTGAATGTAGCCCAGGCTGGTCTTGAACTCATAACCCTCCTGTCTTGGCCTCATGGCCTCCTGAGTGTTGGGGTTACAGGCATGCACCACTGCCCAGCTCATTCATTCCTTATTTAGCATGTACTTACTGATGATGGAATAGTTTGTGAGTCAGTTTGTGCCTTCTAATGGAGAGAAAAGTTTAAACACTCAATGGTCTACTAGCCAGAGCTACAAAAGCACAACTTGCTTCGGAAGTGGAAGCAGGAAGGTTGAGTGCTGACTTTTCTGGCAAACAGCAATTTAGGAAAAGGCCTGAAGCCAAGAAGAGATATGGCCTCAGGGGAAAGGCAAATAAAATAGTTTAATAAAATTAGAATGAAAGTTAGGTTTGATAGCCCAGGTCCATAATCCCAGTACTCTTGGGAGGCTGAGGCAGGACAATGGCAAGTTCCAGCCCAGCCTAGGCAACTCAGCCAGACCCTACCACAAAGTAAAAGTAAAAGATGGCTGGGGATGTTACTCAGTGCAAAGGCCCTGGGTTCGATCCTCAGTAGAAAAATTACAAAAATATCATTAGTTATATCGTTCACCTCTTTTCAAGCCAGAAATATGAGTTGTCAAAGTAGTTCCTCCTAATTCCTGATGCACCACAGGATCATCAAACAGTTCAAGAGCTGGACGTGGTGACACACGCCTGTAATCCCAGTACTTGGGAGGCTGAGGCAGGAGGATCTCTTCTGAGACCAGTCTGGGCTACACAGTGACAGGTCAGTCTCCACTACATAGTGAGACCCTGTCTCAAAAAAAAAAAACAAAAACCAAAAACAAAAAAAAAAACAGTTCAAGAAGAAATTTATCTCTTGATTGTTTGAGTCCCTCTGTCAGCCTAAGAGGCCACCAGCTATCCAGTGATCACACTACACCTAACTCCAGGTGGCTTTTTTTTTTGTACTGGGGATCAAACTCAGGACCTTGGGTTTACAAGGAAGGTGGCAGAACCACTGAGTTAAATCCCTGGCCCTAGGTACCTACTTTTAAATTATGTAAGGGGCAAGAGGACTCATCTCAAGAATTTTCTTTTTTTTTTTTGAGACAGGGTCTCACTATGTAGTTGAGACTGACCTGGAACTCACTATGAGGCCCAGGCTGGTCTTGAACTCACAGTGATCCTCCTGCCTCAGCCTCAGGAGTGCTGGGATTATAGGCGTGTGCCATCATGCCGGACTAAGAATTCTCTTTTCCAAAATAACTTTCACTTTGTCTCTCATCCCTGATAGACTCTGGCCTAAGAGTGCAGTTCCTTTTTCCCTCTCCTGATCTGGCTAATTCCAAAAATCTGTCAGTATTTACCTTAGATGCCACCCATTTCAAGGATAATTTCTTGGATCTTTCTCTCACTTTATCCACTGTGTTCCCACAACATCTTGTACACATCACTATATAACTCCCTCATTCATGCAACACATATTTATGGAGTATCTATAAACTATCAGGTGCTGGGAACACCGCTGTTAAAAAACAAAACAAAACAAAACACTTCCAGATCTGCACTCAGGACACTGAGGCAGAAGGACTGAGTCTGAAGCTAGCCTGGACTGTAACAGCGTTTCAGAAAACTATAACCACCACCACCAGACCCCCTTTCCCACCCTCATAAAGGCACACTTTCCAGTATTGCTTTAAATTGGAACTCTGTCTCCTGTCACGAGCACAGGCCACATCTTATTCACGTGTGCAGCTCTACTGCATAGGCCGGTGACTGGCATGGTTCCAGGCCTAACTGAATTTGGCCGAACTGCTCATCCCAAGGATGTCAGCTTGGGATCATAGTGGTTTGTCCTCCCCATCCTTGAACAATCCTACCTATGTAGTTTCTTAAAGATTTCTCCCCCGTAGAAGAGTTCTCTGATGCCTGTTCATATGGGGTTACAAACATCTACACGTAGGGCCTTTGTGTATCTCACCAACACCTTTCCTCCACATATATGAAAAGGGCACCTATTGTCACAGAACTCAGGTACCTCTGCCACTGCAGGAGTTAGGCAGCATCTCTGACCATGGGGCACGGGGCAGGTAGGAAGGGGACAACACAAAAAACACTTTATGAAAGGTTCACCAAGAGTTTTCTTCTTTCCCTCTACATTCAGGGGAATTTAAAAAATATATAGTGGGCTAATTCCTTTCAAAATAACATTTTCCAAGATATTATGGTCTGCAGGTTACCTTCATATCTATTCTCTTGACACTTTGAATAATGCTGATGTAAATAGATGCTAATATATCCATCTTACAGATGATAAAATCAGGGCGATCCAGGGGATTAGCTCAGTGGTTCTGCTGCCAGCCTTGCAAGCACAAGGACCCAAATTCGATCACCTAAATTTGATCTCTGGTACAAAAAAAAAAAAAAAAAAAAGAAAAAAAAAAAAAAAAAAAAAAAAAAAAAAGGAAATCGGGGCTCTAAAGGGGAACTTTTTTGGAGTCTTATTTTTTAACTTGTAGTCTAACTTTGTCAGCCACCTAAGTGCTATGATTACAGGTATTCACCACTGCACCTGCCCAGAATTTAAGATCTCCACTGTTTAAAAATGAGATAAGCAAGCTGGGCGTGGTGGCGCATGCCTATAATCCCAGCACTTGGGAGGCTGAGGCAGGAGGATCCAGTGAGTTGAGACCAGCTTGGGCTGGGCTACACAGTGAGTTCCAGGTTAGTCTCAACTACATAGTGAGACCCTGTCTCAAAACAAAACAAAACCAAAAAACAAAAATGAGATAAGCAGCTCAAAGATTTGAGTACATGATTCCCACTTTATCAGGATCAAGACACATTCTGCTTGGGCGTGCTGGCTCAGGCCCGTAATCTCAGCACTCTGGAAGGCTGAGGCAGAAGCATTGCAAGTTGGAGTCTAATAATTTAGTAATAAAAAAATTTAAAATAAAGGGGGTGGTGGGGTGTGCTCTGAGCATACAGCTCAGGTAGCTCAGGGTCAAGGCTCTGGGTTCCACCTCTACTACCAAGAAGTGGGTGGGGAATGGGTTGTACCAGGTTTCCTTCCATCCTAAAACATCTCACGTTAGTGACCCTTTCCCCACAGGCTAGGCTTAAACAAACTGAAACCAATAAAACATACCTGGAATAAACAGTGGTATAAGACCCTGGGGGTTTGCCTTCTTTGCCAATCAACTTGAACCTAAAAGGGGGCTGCTAGAATTGCTTGCAAACTGCTTCTTGGCCTTTTGGCTAAAATGAAGCCGTAGAACTGCTTGCAAGTTGAGGCATCAACTATACAAAGCACTTGACTCTAGTCTCTGGGGAAAAATCAATCTAAAAGGAAGTTGAAGGGTGAAGAGATACTTAAAAAACAAAGAATGACATTTAAAAAACAAAGACCTGCCTCCCAAGCGCAAGGTTCCATGTTCCATCCCATATCATAAATAACAAACAAACAAACAAACAATGAGGGCAGGGAATTTAGCTCAGTGGCACTGTGCCTGCCTTGCAAGTGCAAGGTCCTGAGTTTGATCCTGGACACCAAAAATCAAAGAATGAAAATTAACACACACACATACAAAAACCTTTATTTACAATTAAAAACTTAAATGCACACACTCTTGGTTTGGAGTCCGCGATATTTCCGAAGCAGGCAGGAATGCAAACACTGGAGCCATTCAGTTTATCTGACTCAGCAAAGTCAGGACAGCAAGGGAAGGCCTACAACGGCAGAGACCAGAGACGCAGGTCAGTGAGTGATGGGAGATAAGCTGCTTAAAGGAACCAGAGGGGAATATTCCAGGAGACTATGCTCCCACTCTCCCCTACACTCTATTCCTCTTTCCCCCAAAGAGTAGAACTAGTCTGAGGGTCACCATGGGGTAGACTTTTGGTTCTCCAGGGCCAAGAGAAGACATATTTTACATGAGAACTAAGAAAGTAATATTTATGGCCAACCATGTTGTCTCTCTAATATTTATACTTTACAACTCTTTATGGTCTGCAATCTCTTTACACAAATGAGCAAATTAGGATCCCAAGGGGTTTTCTTGGCTTGACTAAGGCCCAGAGTTAGACAGCATTGGGATTTCCTGGTCTATTTGGCTCCAAGGCCTGTATCACTTGTCAGGCTTTGGTGACTTTCTCTAGAGCTCCAGAACAAACAGCAATCCTTGCACAGAGCAGGTTTTAATCCCAGGGGTTCAAAAAGTAAAGTTCACTCTCTCTGCTTATGGCCTTGGAGCTAGTCATACTAAAAGAGTAATTTTTGTTTTGTTTTGTTTGTTTTTTTGAGACAGCATCTCACCATGTAGTTGAGACTGACCTGGAACTCACTATGTAGCCCAGGCTGGTCTCGAACTCACAGTGATCCTCCTGCCTCAGCCTCCCAGAGTGCTGGGATTACAGGTGTGCACCACCATGCCTGGCTAAGAGTAATTTGAATATACTTAAAGCAGTACTTGGAGGCAGGAGGATCACCATGAGTTCAAGGCCAACCTAAACTGCATACCTTCTTCCACCATACCACAAATGTGGCCACATCCTCCCTCTGGGGGACAGAGAGAGTTTTGGTGTCACATTGAAGTCTCGGAGGTTTAACCCTGGGCCCTCAACTAAAGCATATAAAAATGCATCAATGTACTTTATAAATTGCATGGTGCACCAGAACCTAATATCTACTCTACCACACAGTATTAGTCAACATGGACCCTGCTTCAAGTTCTCAGTCCAGCAGAAAGCAGACCAACACATCTGTGATATGCCATGCTAAATGCTGGGATAGAAGAAACCATTCACCTCGCCTGGATCTGGCAAGGAAGTTAGGGAGGGACCTGGGGAGAATTTATAAACTCATGTTAGCCATAGTTATAGGCATGCTCCTGGGAGGGGCTGGAATTAGTATTAATTAAAACTACATATATAATACAGTACGTACTTCTATTTAAGGTACATGCTCAATGTAGAAAGTAAAAGCACAGATAGGACAATATAAACTGACAAAGTCTGCTGTCTTTACTCTGCAGAAGAGTCTATTAGCAGTCTGCCATTTATCACTGCTGAAATTTCTGAAATTGCTATTTAATATAAATAGTGCCATACATACACAACGTACATCCTGACTGTCATTTAATTTACTTTAGAAATCTTGGGAACACATAGAGATCTACCTCTTTTTTTCTTTTTTGTTTTTTTTGAGACAGAGTCTCACTATGTAGTTGAGACTGACCTGGAAATCACTATGTAGCCCAGGCTGGTCTCAAACTCACAGAGATCCTCCTGCCTCAGCCTCTTGAGGGCTGGGATTACAGGCATACGCCACCACGCCCGACTGTTTTGATTTTTGAAATAGGGCCTTGCAACATAGTTTTTAGGCTGGCCCCAAACTCATGACAATCCTCCTGCCTCAGGCTCCGGAATGCTGGGATTACAGGCTTGTACCACCACACCTGAGGGAAGTATTCTAATTTTTTTTTTTTTTGGCAACCAGGATTGAATTTGGGCCCTTGTACTTGCAGGCCAGAGAACCACTGAGCCAAATCCTTGGGCCGGGAAGTATTCTAATTAATTAATACTTATTTGTGGAATCGATGGAGGACCAACACAACTGCCACCGACATCTTTCATAACTACCCAAAAGAACTATATCACATCTCCAGTTACAGTGGCATCTCGGTTCATGAACTTAATTTGTTTCATGATTCTGGAAAAGACGGCCACGGTCATGTTTGTGACCTGATGCAGAGTTCATAAATAAAAACAAAATTCTGCCAAATGCTTCTGTTTGTGAACTGAGGTACTACATAAAATTCCAGAATGGGAGAGTATCATAGGCCTCACACTGTTACATCTATCATCCGCATGTACAGTTCATTTTTTTTAACATAATCACTATTGAAATTTTAATACTGCCTTGCAGTTAGCCTTAATAACTATAAAATTATGTGTGTGCTAGTTATATATCTTTCCCTAAAATGCAGGTATTAAAATAAAACATAGCCATGGCTATGTTTCCTACAATTCTTTGATAAGCAGAAAAAAGATATCTGGGAATTAGTAGATTTAACAAGCACCCTCAAATGATTCTCATCTGTAGGGTAATGGAGGCTACAGTAAACTAAGGAAAGCTTTCTACCACTTGGTACTGGTAGCAGCTCTTAGAATCAAAGGAAGGGGGTAATACATCAGACTGTCAGGGCTACCTGAGCTTATAAGTAGTTCTTTTCCAAGACTGTAGGCTTTCAGAGTAGAGGCTCCATTGGTCTCCAAATACATGTAAGTAGCAAAGAACCTAATTCAGACTACAGTAGGAGGATCTGCAGGTATGAGGTTTTTTTTTATGCTATACCTAAGCCCTGAGATACATCTAGAGCTATGGAGGAAATATTATTTTTCTTTTGGTGTTTTGAGCCAGGGTCTCGCTATGTAATTCAGGCTGGCCTTGAACTCACCATGTGGCCCAGGTTGGCCTCGAACTCATGGTGGTCCTCCTGCCCCAGCTTCCTGTGTGCTGGGATCACAGGCATGTGCAACCACACCCAGCAGGAAAATATTTTCAACAAAGTCAGAACATAGTAAGGTAGAACACAAGAGTTCTAGAACAGAAGTAAGTGCTTCATCAGGAGGCACCGCTAATCAGTCACCTCACTTGCCTTTTCTTCTTCCTAGTTCCTCCATCTCATAGTGCTTGGGTACAAGTGAGCTTCATGAGCAGATACCTTGATTCAAATACAATGGACTGTTTCTGCCCCACCAAGAAATTATTTCCTTCTGAGTGTTTTGCTTGGTGGGTTCTCAATGCAAAGAGACCCTCCTATTCCCATATACACAGCTTGCCACTCAGTGTCTGTACCAGTATCTCCCAGGAGCTGGTCAGAAAAGCAAAGCCTCAGCTCCTCCCAAACTCAATGAACTAGGAGCACTTTCTAAATAAATTCAAGTATGCGAAACATTGCCCAATAGGGCTTAAAATCATCTATCATCACTGTCAACCGTTATTCTACGCAAAACAAACCTAAACATATGAAATATTCCTATAAGATTCGAGATGCTTATAACTTACAGTTAAGAAGAATGATGAGATGAGACCATCTACTCAGTCCCTGCCCCCAGTAGTAACCAGGTTGTTCCCTTACTTTCTCTCAAATTGCCCCATGCAGAAATCCAAAGTGGGGGACCTAGGTAACAACACCTTTCTTTTTTGTTTTTTTCCTTTTATCTCTTCTTTCTCCCTTAAAACCTATGATGGAGGTTTCTGATAAAGATCTATCATCCCAGCACTCCGGGGGGGCTGAGGCAGGAGGATTGTGAGTTTAAACCCAGCCTAGGCAATTTAGCCAGACCCTATATAAAATAAATAAATAAATAAATAAAAGGGTGGGCATTTAGCTCAGCACAAAAGCCTTAGTTTCAATACCAAGCATCAAAACATAAATAAATTTTTGAAAAAGGGACTAGAGATATAGCTCAATGCAAAGTACCTGGAGGTTCAATCCCTAACACCAGAACAAATCAAACTTTTTTTTTGCAGTGCTGGCGATTGAACCCAAGGCCGTATGCACCCATCCTAGGCCAGAGCTCTGCCACTGAGCTACACGTGCATAGCCCCTCAAGCAAAATTCTTTAAAAAAAACCCTTTTTATTGGTATATAACAGTTTGCAGTACATGATATTTATTCTGGGGAACCGGTACATATATGTAAATAACATATCATGAT